AAATATAAAGAAAGCTCTTTTTCCTCTGTGAAGAATTCAGAGTAGGTGGGGTTGATGAACAAGGAGATTTTTCTGGGGTCTAGCCTATGTTTTTTCTTTAAAAGTATGTACAATCTGTCCTTGGATTATAGTTGGACTTCTGTAGAGTTGTCACTAAATCTCTTTCTTTTACACTAGATCTCATTTGTTTGGTAAGGTAAATCTCTCTTGAGACAAATACAGTGAAGTGATTTTTCTGCTGCTATTATTTTCGAGCAGATAAAACCAATATTATTTTAGTCTTTTAAAAAAGGGGTAGGGAGGGAGTGGTGCTTTTCTTCTGCTAACTTTGCCATCGGCTTATATGAAAATGACCGAATTTTATCTAAGTAACAGTTGCCATCGTCTTTGACTTATTTAACCAAGACACACCTAACTAGCAAAAGACATTTTTAATACTGAAAGCCCAATCTGAGAACTTAACATTGGTGAGCTTCTGGATAGCAAAGTCAATTTGCCAAAGCAGTGCTACTTTTTGCTTTTTTTTACATACGGGATTTCTGAATATTTTCTTTGAAGAAAGGGTTCTACCACTACAAAAAGTCTTTAAGGACAATTATTCTAAACAAAGTTCTTAAAAATGTTTATTTTGTAATGTTCTAACTCTGGCTTTCAGGCAACTCAAATAAGTGAATCTATCTTGACCTATTACTTAACTGTTAATATTAAATAGCTTTTATATTCACTCTACTACAATATGTCCAGATTCTATTTTAACAAAAAAATTTTTTTTCAGTCTAAACTCTTAAAGAGTTACTAGAGTCTCAATAATAGGTTGTGTAAGGTTACCAAGTTACTCAGGTACTCAAGCTTTTTTTTTTTTATTTACTTAAAAAATTTAAGATATAATTTGCATATAACAATGTATCAGTTTAAGGTGTACAATTTGTTGCTTTAGCTAACACCTCTATCTCATTTCTTTTTTTTTTTGTGGTGATTAACATTTACGATCTAGTCTCTTAGCAATTTTGAAGTATATAATACAGTACTGTTGACTATAATCGCTCCTTGTGCATTAGATCTCGGAAACATTCTTCCTGTTGCAAATTTATACCCTTTAACAACATTTCCCCAATTCCCGGTATACTCAAGTTTAATTAGTGAAAACACAATGTACAGTCCTGACTAAATAAAGGAATTTAAAAGGCACTGGGAAAGGATGAAAAGTGAAGATAAAAACTAAAAAGTTAGAATTATATGTCAATTATCTCAATAAGGCTGAAAAAACTCAAACAACAAAATACCATACCGAAATATGTAAAATGCATTAATACCAGAAAGTTACTCAGTTTCTATCTCATGTGAACAGGTGATCCAAATTCAGGTTGTAGGCAGTAAATATCTATTATACATGTAAAAGACTCTCTAAAGTCTATTTCTGCTCAATCTATACTGGCTTCAAACATAAGCAAATCTAAGTATCTAAAATTTTAGTCTTAAATATACGGATATTCAGTTACTCAAGAAATTTACTTGTGAGGAACACTTCATTTCCCACAAATGCTGGTCAGATAAGATGGTTTTACAAAAATAGCATCAACTGAAAGCAGATATTCTTAAGGGGAAAATATAACAAGAAAATTTACACATCTGAAATTATTTAAATTACCTTTAAATTATTTTTTTGACTGGAGGAATGAATAAGTTTTTTGATAGGGGTCTTGTCAATTAGCAATGTGGTTATTATTTTGCTAGGAAAGAACACTTATACAATGATCAGGTTACTAGGATACTAAATACTTGTTTAAAATAAGTAACATTTTATTACATAAAAATGAATTAAAAAATAAAAATTAAAAACAGAAAAATCTGAGAAACTGTCAGTCTAGAGGAGTCTAAGGAGACATGATAACTAAATGTATTAAGGTATCCTGGATGGGATCCTGGAAGAGAAAAACATTAAAACTAAGGAAATCCAAATAGAGTGTGGACTTTAGTTAATAATAATGTATTAATATTGTTTCATTAGTTGAAATGAATGTATTGTAGTAACGTAAGATGTTAATAATAGGTGAAACTGAGTCCAGGGTAAATGGGAACTCTGTATAACTTTTCTATAAATCTAAAACTACTTTAAATAAAAAGTTTATTTTTTAAAAAAAGGTCATTAGGGGGTCAAATATAGGGGCATATGGAGATGGAGTAAAGGGGATCAAATATATGGTAGCTGAAGGAAACTGGACTTTGGGTAGTAAACGCACAATAGAATATACAGATGTCAAATTATAATGTACACCTGAAAATTATATAATTATATTAACCAATGTTACCCCAATAAACGTGATTAAAAAAATTTAAAAAAGGTTATTAAAGAAAAGCATCATGTTCTGAAAATATCATGGCTAATTTTATGATATGTGAACTTATAAAAGAAATGAATATTACATGGTTCTAGTTTTGAATGATCAATTATTCCCTTGGATTCTATATAAAAGAACAGTACTGTATATTTAAGGAGTTCTTTAAAGCAACAGATTTATGCATTAAAAAACTTAAGATAATTATTAGTTTTTACCCTTTCAAGTGTGATTTCTTCATATTCATAATCTGCATCAGTGCCATTAACCTAATGGGTGGAAAAACAGAAATTTAAAGTGTAAAATCTGAAATGGCAAGACATAATTTTTGCATAATTTATTAATGAAAACCTGTTAAATGTGATAGCAATCAAATAATATAGCTTCCTTTAAAATAATTTAGGGAAAATTTTCAAGGAGTGGAAGAGTATAATGTGATTAATAAGTTAACATTTACGGTATTACGACTTTCAAATATAGAAAGGGCACACTCAGCTTTTAATATTATTGAACTCTGACCCTTTTCTCTGCCTTGATCCACACATCTTAAATCAGTTGGCAATTCTTACTGATTTGAATACTTAAACTTTTCTGAAAACCATCATTTCTTCATTCTCATTTCTATTTCTTTGGTTCGAGGCTTTGTTAATCTCCTGTGGACTAGTGCCAATATAAACTACTCAATCTCTTAGATTAGTATTTTCCACTGCCCAACTTTCTAATGTTTCACGCATATACATCTTTTTGGAGTTCATGTCTAATAATATACTTTTTCCAAATATACTTTAAGAAACTCTCATACAAGGCTCTGTATGAACTGACCCCAATCTATCATTCAGCTTCATTCCTTATATATTTTACCTCTTCAACAGCCTTACACACCATAAAATTTGAATGATTTGCTTTCCTTTACATATCCTGCAAGTTCCCAACTCTGCATCTGCTACTTTAGTGCTTCCTCTGTCACACATTTCATTTACATATTTCATGTTGAAATTTGATTCACCATTCAAGTTCTTGCTCACATCTTACAGAATAAGCACTTTCTTTTATTCTTTCCAATTTATTTCCCCGTTCCCTCCTGGAAGAAGTAATTCCCACGGTGAGGGCCAAGGGTGAAGGGTGAGTAATCCTCTGATTCAGATTAACTTGGGTTCAAATCATTGCTTTAAAGAGTCCAGTGACATGAAGCTGGGCAAAACACTTAATCTAATAAATCAAATAAGGATTGTGATAAACTGCATTTCTCTAGATGCCTCCTATCTTTCATCCGACATGCTTTTTCGTAATATGACTAAACCATCTTACCATCAAGAGATGTTGTCAATGTCCCCTCCTCTTGGATCTAGGCAGGTCCTAGATGAGTTTTGTTAAAAAAGAATGTGGTATAAATGACGCTAGGTTTCTGAAGCTAGGTCATGTGAAGCCCTGTAGTTTTCGTGTTTGTTTTAGAATATACTGCCTTAGAACCCAACAGCTATAATGTGAGGAAGCTTAGACAGCCTAAGAGAAGATTCAAATTAAGGAGAACCAAGGCCCTTGGCCAAAAGCCCCACGCTGCACTCCTATCAGCAACCAGCACCAACTGCTGGCCATGTGAATAAGGCTATTTTGGGTCTTCCAGCCTTCTCCAGTGCCTCAGCCAATACCATGTGAAGCAGAACCATCCAGTTAACCCAGAAAATCATGAGAAATAATGAACTGTTGTTTTTAAGCCACTAAGTTTCAGGGTAGCTTGTTATACAGCAACAGAATAATGAAATGACAGAATAATAAAATTATATAAGCTATTTTGCTTTCTTCATCATTCTGTAAGAAATCAACCCTTAATTCAAGTCTAATTCAAGGACTAAAAGTTTTTTTCTTGAGGAGTTTTGAAACCCACCTCCACTAATTTTTGGGGTCCTTAATTCCTATGGCTGTAATAGATTCAAACCCAATGCTACTTTCTTTCTTCTTCTCACATAGGTTTTTTTTTTTTAAGATAATATGTTATAAATGCACATATATGTATATACATCTAAATCTATGATTTCCATGTATCTAGAGTACAGGAGGGTTATATGTGTGTGTGTGTGTGTGTGTGTGTATACGTACACACACACACACACACACACACACACACACACACACACACGGTATGCATACATATTCTATTTAAAAAAACATCCATTAAATTTAATAAATTTTCCTCAGCTTATGGCTTTGGCCAAATTCCAAAATTGCTACACTGGGCTCTATTTTTGTTCATTTGTTCATTTCTAAATACAATAGTCTGAAATTTTATTCTGGAAACATTTCCAAGTAAGAGTACTTATATGGTCCTTTTGGTGTTAAAATGTAAAGTTTTTGTATTGTGACCTTATTATTTCTGCTTTAAGGAATGAGATTTTCACCATCAAGCCTTCTCAAAAGGTAGGTACTTAGTAAATGTCCTTGGTACTTATTTAATGCCACATCATGATGTACTGATTATCTGGTGAGGATTCTAGGTAGCATCGAGTGTGGAGTGATTTAAAAAAGGTGAACAACTGAGAAGGTCATATAGACTTCAAATGACTTATTCCCAAATCCTCAATAACTTGAAGCTGTCTGATAATTTTAAATATAGAGACAATTCAATTACAACATTAAACACTTTCAAACTGGGCAAAGAGTACATTATCCAAAACACGAATTACAAGTACCACTTACTTAACAGTAAATGTAAATCCAGTAAACAGTAAATCCAAAACACGAATTACAAGTACCACTTACTTAACAGTAAATGTAAAAATAACAATGGTGGTGTAATATTTTCAAAAGCAGTATGGTTTCCAGCAAAACTATAAAGTGATTTGTGTGCTTAGTTTCCTTTTTATAACATCTTTACAAAATGTGGCTTCCAATAGGAAAGAAATGCTTGGTTAATGTGTTTATTACTCTCAATAAATAGAATACAGTAAGAGGTAAGGTAGGAACAAAATTAAATCAATATTTAGACAAAATGAATATATTGCTGACAAAATATTTGTTTTTTCCTCTAAAAATATGAGAGAATAAACTTAATACTTCTCGAGAACTGTCATTGCTAGCATTTTCTAGGTTTTGAATTCAGTCTTATCAACAAAATGGGATTGCGTATGGGGGTGAAGGTTGGAGCAGAAACTAGATAGTGCATTGAGGCCTGATTGTGAAAGGTCTTGAATGCTTTCGGAAGGAAGAAGAAAGTCTTGCAAGTTCTTGAGCATCACATAGGTTTAATAGATATCCGCAAAAAAGAACTATGGCAATTTGGAGCAGAAATGGAGAGAAACTAGAGAAAAGTAAACTGGTAAAAAACTATGACACTAGTCTGAGTAAAAGGAAAAAATTCCAAAAGCAGATTAATCTCAGGAAAATGATGATCTCTACATTATGTTCCTGCTCAGCAATGAGATCTGCTCTCTTTCTCATGCACTGCTTTATGCCGCCAGTAAAGTTTTATAGTTTTCTTACTATAAATTCTATACATTTCTTGTTAAGCTGATTGCTGTTTTCATATTTTAATTGATAGTTAATGGACTTATACTTACAACTTGTTGCTAGTAATACTGGAATAGCATTTATTGTTTAAGTTGTATAATTCTTTTTTTCTTTTTAATACAATTTGCTTTAATTATGGGTACACAAATGTCATAACGAAGCAGAGGACAATTTAGTATATGTACTGCCGAAGTGAGCACGAGGACGATTTATGACACAAATATTCTCAGTCTCTTACTAGCTCAAAGATTTTAATTTTCCAATCAGCTACACTAATATAATCAAAAAGAACAGACAAATCCTATTACATAATAGGTATAAGGCTTGTCCAAAGAAAGATTTTTTAAAAACCTAATTTATTAAAGCCCTGTTATTTAGGTTCAATTCAGTAATATATTGACATTCAAAATTTTATCTGTTAACATTCGTATGTCTCATGGTTCATATTAATAGATAATCTCATCAAAGTCTATAGCATCACAAAGTAAGAATCTAAAAATAAAAATGTATTAGGAAGAAAATGTTCTTCCTAATGCAAAATTAACACAACTACATACAAAGTGTTAACTCCAAAAGAATTTACTTAAAAGTATTTTCTAAATAATGAATAGCCATTTAGGTTGATTTAAAAATACTGTATTTACCAATTAAGCTACATATGAAGCTTTTAGTATGTAAGAAAACTACCAAAGTCAAGCTGAATAAATTTTCCTAACCATCATTGTTCACAGTCTGTCTTAAAGAAAATAAAGACAGAGGAACAGATGGGAATTATTTTGACAAGATTACTTCATTTCTATCTCATTACTGGAACCAAGAACTCTAGAATTTTTGTCTTTAATTTTCTGTTCCCTTAACATTTTTACTATTTAAGGAAAGAATAGGAATGCATGAAGAGAGAATCAACCCTAATGCCAATGAAATTATATCAATTAATAGTTAAAATTGAGTATAATATGTTATACTTAATGGTAAAAGACTGAAAGCTTTTCCCAAAGGATCAGAAATAAAACAAGAATGCTTGCTCTTGCCACTTTTATTAAACATTGCAATGGAGGTTCTAGCCAGGGCAATTAGGCAAGAAAAATAACTAAAAGGCATCTTGACTGGAAAAGAATAAGTAAAACTACATCTATTTGCAGATGACATGATCTTATGCTGAAAACTGAAAGGAATCCACACAAAAAAACTATCAGAGCTAATAAATGAGTTCAGTATGGTTGAAAGACAGAGTAATACCTAAAAATCCATTATATTGTCATACACGAGCAATGGAAAAATCTATAAATAAAATTTTAAAAAATTCTATTTATAACAGCATTAAAAGAAGATACTCAGGAATAAATTTAACAAAAGAAGTGTAAGACTTGTACACTGAAAATTACGAACATTATTGAACAAAATGAAAGATGTAAACAAAAAGAAAGACATTCTGTATTTATGGATTGGAAATCATAATATTGATAAGATGGCAATACTCCCCAAAATTACCTATAGATTCAACTCGATCCTAAGCAAAACCTCAGGTGCCTTTTTGCTATGTGCAGAAATTGACAAGCTGATCATTCATATTCAAATTCATATGGAAAGCAAAGAATCTCAAACAGCCCCTCCCCCCCAAAAAACTTTGAAAGTTGGAAGACTTATATTTTCTGATTTCAAAACTTATTATAAAGTTACGGTAATCAAGACTACATGGTGTTGGCATAAAAATACACATACATATCAACAGAAGAGAACTCGAAAATCCAGAAATAAATTCATATATTTGTAATTAACTGATTTTCTGCAAGGGTGTCAAGACTATTCAACAAAGAAAGAATAGTCTCCAACAAATAGTGATAGGACAGCTGGATATCCACATGTAAAAGAATGAAGCTGGACCTTAACTTTCCATAATATACAAAATTAACTGAAAATGGATCAAAGACCTAAATATAAGAGCTAAAACTTAGTAGAAAACATAAGTGTAAATCCTTGTGACCTTGGATTAGGCAATAGTTTCTTAGACATGACAGAAAAAGCATAAGTGATTTGTGCTTCCCTCTACCTGCCAATAAAAGTCCAAAAATATATATATATTTGGACTTTTGAGCTTCTATAGAGAAATCTTACAAATTGCTAATAAAATACAATAATCCAATTAAGAAATGGACAATGGATCTGAACAGATAGATATTCCTCCAAAGATATACAAATGTCCAACAAGCACATAAAAAGATGCTCAATCAACATCATTAGTCACTAAGTAAAGGCAAATCAAAGCTACAATGAAGTATCACTTCATACCCACTAGAATAGCTATAATAATAATAATAAAAAAAACCCCCAAAACATTGTTGATAAGGACTAGTAAGATTGGTGAAGACGTAGAGAAATTGGAACCCTCTTACTTTGCTGGTGGGAATGTAAATGGTGCAGCCGCTACTGAAAACAGGTGGTTCCTCAAAACCCTAAATATAGAATTACCATATTACACAGCAATCTCACTGCTAGAAATTGAAAACAGGGACACAAATTCAACAGAAGGATGAATAAACAAAATGTGGTGTGTACTCATAATGGAATGGAATATTATTTAGCCATAAAAATGAATGAAGTTCTGATACATGTTGCAACATGGATGAACCTTGAAAATATACTAAGTGAAAGAAGCTAGACACAAAAGGCCACATATTGTATTATTCTATTTATTTGAATGGTCCAGAATAGACAAATCCATAGTGACAGAAAGTAGATTAGTAGTTGTCAGGGGCTGAGGGAGGAGCAGAATGTGGAGTAATTGTTTACTGGTACCAGGTTTTTTTATAGGGTGATAAAATGTTCTGGAATTAGAAAGTGGTGGTGATGGCACAATATTGTAAATAAACTAAAAACAAACTAAAGTATACACTGAATTGTACACTTTAAAAAGGTAGATTTTGTGGTATATGAATATCTCGACATAAATTTTTAAGGTAAAAATGTAGAAAAGGGAGATAGGTAAATATAAATGCAAACTAAAATGAGTTAATACATTTTAAACATGTTAAAAAAGATCAAAACATTTATTAACACACTGTGCTAGTGATAATATGGGATGAAAACATAAATACTTTTTGTTGAAACATAAATGGGTAAAACTCTATAATGAACAAATCTATAAATTTACACACTGAGCGATTTATGAGTATGTTTTGCTTATATACTTGTATACATATACAAGATATGTATACAAATATTACCAGTAGGGCACTGATTTTACATAGTAAAAGTTTAGAAACATATATGCATGCATGTGCCCCCAAATGTTTAAATATGACACTACTAACGCTTTGTGTCTTAGGCAAGGGTAACTGGAAGACTGGAAGCAGAGGTGAAAGAAAAGTTTACTTTTCACTGGATAGCCTTTTGTTACTTTAGAATTTTGTATAATGTGTATGCATTACCTGTTCAGCTAATTATTTAATTTTGGAAAGTGTGATGACTACAATCAGGGAAAAAAAAATGTGTTCTAAGGCAACAGCTGTATTTAATCACTGACTGCCCCTAAGCAAAACATAAATTAACAAAGAGAACTTATAAAGGAGAAAGAAATGTGAAGAGAATATTGACAAATGTACAAATAAAATTCTGCTTAAGAATTCTACATCGGTGTGAAAGGTAACACTGACAGAAAAGAATCTGAAGAAAGTATAGAAGAGTATTTTTGGTTTGTTTTAAGCATTATTTGAAGTTTTCCAAAATTCCCAAATATCTGATACATCTATACTCATATAAATACAAAAAGAATGTAAAGCCAAATAAAACATTTTATAATATAGCCTGAAATCAACTACAGTTCAAAAATGAGAAGAAAGGATTTTGACAGCCTATGAAATTATGTACTATTTAATCAAAAAAGGAAAACTCACAGCCCTACTTAAACACCACAACTCCAAAGACATTTTCCTTTGGGGTGAAAAATGTTAGATCAGATTCTGCTGTTCTGGCTATTTATTTTTAAGGGAAAGAAGACTTTTTAACAAAGTGAGTTCAGAGGGAAGCACTAATCAATTTAAAGTTATAATAGGTTACTCAATTAGATTTCTAAAATGACTCTTTGAATATAAAGCATTGTGTTAGTGACCATTGGTCAGAAATAGCCTTTAGTGAAAGTTAATCACTTTAATTAAAAAATAAAATCATAAATTTCTATTTTAACATTTCTGCTTTGCATAAGTATGGGGAAAAGAAACAACCAAAAAAAGAGAGTACCGCTTCATTTACTTTTAACAACTGCAGTTCAGTGACAGAATATCATAAGTACAATATATAAGAGAAATAATGCTGTGATCTTTATATCTGTATCAAAAACTGAACAGGAAAAGAAGAATTATTTAAATGTGGGGACAAAATGAAACTTACATAAGTTGGTGTTTCCAAGCTATCTGTGTTGACCAGTACTGGAGGAGGATTTGCCTTAAAGAAGAAATTGTAAATGTGTTAGTTTAACAGGAAAATTGACATATTCTATATTAATGCTTACAAATGTTAAAAACTCATGAAGGATTTGCTATTTCTTAAATTATAATTTTACATGAGCTGTGCATGTTACCCAGTTTCCAGAACCAAATGGAAAGAATTAGGTAAAAGCAATTAAAATAGATTTGTTTTGAGAAATAAATTGTTATTCTGCTAAAACAGGTAATTTTAAGATTTACGAAAAAGTTCACCAGCCTTCTCAAAAAATACAAATATTCTTTAGTATAACAACTCTTCATGAATTGCTTAGAAATCATTAGCTTTTCTGTTCCCAAGGGTCCCATGAAAATTCCAATCACTTTATCACTCAGGAAAAAAAAAATTCTTCCC